TTGATCGCTAGTGTGATTTTCTGCACTATTAAACCTTCATATGTAAAACTGCTGTACATAGTGCTTGTAAATTCCATCAAATACATTTTAAGCGGAAGAATAGCAATAAGGTGCTGCCCATCTTTCGCCCACAGAATGTTACTTATCGGGTCCAACCATGAAAACCTGCCCCCTCCTCTGAGCATCAGCATTCCCATCAGTCTGAGAGGGTTTTTTCCCAAACACACGTTTCAGTCTTTCGACAAAGTGCATAGCCACTGTACACAGAGCCACTGACACGCACAGACAGGACGAGCTCTCAGACTCGACGGGGCTCCGGTGGTGCAGATCCCCTCTGGAGAAGCTCAAGGGCGGGAGCACCTCAGCGTCAAACACCAAGGACACGCAGCAGCTCCCGATACCCGCACCAAAGTCACAGATGGAAGAGGCTGCAGTCACGCTGTCTTAAGAGCCCTGTCTGAGGGAGCTGACACAGATCAAACCATGCACTTCACTTTGAAAGCGAGTCTTTATCAGCAGGAACAAAGAGCCACTGTGAAACTGAAACCACAGTGAACATCCCTGCCATTTTATAAATATTATACAGCTTAAACACAGCTTCTTACTGCTCCTGTACTTTTACACACCTGCTACGTTCATGTGGTAAATTGATGATATGATGACAATAATATATTTAGCCACTACAAACTTGGGAAGTGTTTTTGAAAGCCTGCCTGTGAAATCATTCAGAACATTAAGCTTATAATCGCAGCTTTTCAATTAAAAAGCAGTTTTTGAACATTGCCTTACTGAAACACATAACATGTGTAGGCCTAATAATGTCGCTTCTGGTGTGATAAAACCCATTTTATTGATTTGATATCAGTATTGCTGTAAGTGTCTTTCCCAGTCAAATGTATTCAGTTCTATGGAGTAAAGAAACAAAGTACAAATACTTCATTACTGCACTTAAGCAGGTTTATGTTTTGGGATTTGCACTTCAGGACTTTAAATTTTTGCTTATAACTTTTACTTTTTTTACTTATAACTTTTACTTTTTTTACTTATAACTATAACTTTTACTTTTCCCAAAAAGGGACCAAGAGAGGTCAAAACAAAAGGCATGAAAGCTACATAAGAAGTAACAAAAACTAAATTTAGCACCAAGAAAGACATAAATAAACACAAGCATGTAAAAAACCAGGGGAAACTAATAACTAAGATTTCCAACATAGCTGAGGCTAGCATCAAAGCCACAACCATAGTGATACACTGATTTAAGTACCCGTGGAGCTGAGGAACACACTAGGAACACAGAAGGGTGCTAAACCTACAGAAACACAGAGAAAAGTATGGAATGGCCAGCGACACCTGCTGGCCAAACGGAAACCGACAGAACTGATCCTTACCAAATAAATAATACCTACTGTAAACTCACCCAGGGCTGCAAGATTCTGGATAAGATATGAATCACAATGCTTCCACTCAGAATCGAGGTCATGACTTTCAGAATCGAGGTCATGACGTTTTTTGCACAATATATTATTATTATTATTATTATTATTATTATTATTATTATTATTTTGCATTAAATATTGTCTTTATAAAGATGGAACAAATAATATGTAGAGATCCACGATATATCGTTTAACATACTAGAATTGCTGTCTGATATCTAAACTATATCAATATTGAAAGTTAGTAGCACTAGACTGGGCTACTGAAAAAATTGTGACGATTGCATTGGACGATCAGCCATTTTCCCTGGTAGAGGACGATGGTTTTAGTCGGCTAGCAGAGGTCTAAAAGTAACGCCTCGCGAAATGTTTATAAACCATTATTAAATCTCGCCCGACTCCTAGATTCATCTTTCGTTTCAAATGGAATAAAAATGTGATTCCACTAATCTGCATGTTCCTTATTGTGTCGCACTGTAACTTGCAATACTATATTCCTGTGTTAAGAAAATTTACAATGACAAGTTTCTTTTTGCAAGATCAATAAATTTAAATGCAGGCCTAATGTACTTTTTACTTAAGTACTTTAAAAAAACATATATATTTTTTACTTTTACTGGAGTAAAAGTAAAAAAATATTGCTTTATTTTGCTGGATGACTTTTACTTAAGTAATATTTTGATGTGGTATCTGTACTTCTACTTAAATATTAAAATCGAGTACTTTTTCTACCACTGATACAGTTTAGCTGCATTTAACTGAAGAATACGAGGTGTTACCTTCACGTAGCAATGTGACAAAAAGAAACGGAGAAAATGCAATCAAATTATAGAATAGATGTATGTTTTTATTAGCAAGTACTCAATATTCAAGTATTGGAGAAAAATAGTGCCTTTCTTCACATGACGAAAAGGTGTTTCACCTAATTATTTCACTTCTTAGCAGGTTCAAGTCCACGGTGAACTTTCCTTCCAACATACGCACACGTAACTTGTAAATATTTCTGCGATTATGCTTATCTAATGATTACACTTGTATAACACTTTATGTGAAATGAGTCTCCAGACTGTGTATATGTGCGGCTGATGGGACTGATGAATCGATCCGTCTTAGTGAGACGGGGCTGGACAGTGCGCTCCCTGCTTTAACCCCTTTGTGAGCTTCACAGCCAGCCGCTCCAATTAAATGCAAAAGACCCACTACATGCCTCCTAATCCGGCTTTGTTACAACATTGTAATTTGTTACAATATTTACTCACCGTCGAACCATCGTTTACTTTTAAATCAGAGCGTATCACTTGGTATCACTCGGCACTAAGATGAAAGAGGGATGGGAAGATACCTTTGATGGACAGATAGCCTTTGCTAAAGGGAACCCCCGTCAATGTCACAGATATGATGATATATGATATATCGGCAGAGCTATAGACATTTCTTGCTGAAAATAATAAAATAAAATTAACTGGCGAGTGAATGCATGTGTAAAGCATGCTATAAAGTCACTAAGTCCGCCGATCTCACGTACGTCTGACCTGAAAATCTGTTTTAAAGCATGCTATAAACTCACCGATTGCTCTGATTTCCCGAATATCTTACATGAAAAGCCGTCTTAAAGCATGGTACAAACTCACCGATCGCACTGATCTCCTGCCGGGCGCTCAGCCGGTTTCTCTCGTCGGCAATCGCCTTCAGCATCCGCTGCAGAGACTGGTCCAGCTCCCCGTTTTCCTCCTCCTCTTCAGTGCCGACTGCCTTGCAGTAACTCTGAAAGGATGCCATTCCCAAACTGAGCTCATGACAGTCCCGGAAAGGGAGAAATCGCCCGGGTGGGGTGCGTGCTGGTGGGAGGTCGACGGCAGGGGAGGGGCGCTGGAGATCCCCCTCCCTCCTGATCAGCAGAATAATTCCTAATATTTATTGCGGGCCGAGTGGTGATACCATCCGGGCCGTGCAGCTGTCACCGCAGCGAGCCTCAGAGGCGCAGAGTGTGACCCGCTTCCGCCTGCCCTCCGACATCAGCCGGCATCGCACCGGGAGCAGCCCTCACACTTCCTGCGAAGCGTTTAAAAGGGACGGGACCGGTCCGATCACGAACCGTCCGTCTCCCACGGTCACGAAATGACATGTTGTGCTTACCAAATGACTTATCGAGCTCTTAAATGGCCGCCATCGTGACAGTACCGGACGCCCCTCTTTAAAGACACAGGGTTTACGCTCAGCGCCGGTCGCGCTTAAAACAGGGCTAGGCGTCTTCGGGTTATGATCCCGCATTTAGGTGAAAAGTAAAAGGTGGGAAAGGTAAAAGGTGAAACGCCCTTAAAGGCTTCAAAGACCTTCCCCATGCCTGCCATGCAAACGGGGATACATCGCCCCGGGGGATCCACTGCGCTTCACAAAGGTCCAATACTTATTCCAAAAACTCCAATTTAAATTACTTTATTCTGTGTACGGTTTCCACTAATTGCCTTTATGATACTGGTATAAGCGGCATTATAATGGTCGCAATAACATTTTAAACAGAATGTTTAGAGTAAGATGCATTGCTACGGAACAAATGACATGCACCTGCTAACATGATAGATGACTGCACATTATCTTTACACTTCAGTTTGTTAGAATATGTGTTTATTTAGAAATATATACATTAATACACAACTGAAGAGTGAAAAGCAGGTAATGTTTTGAGAAGAACATGGGAAAAAAATTAAGTGTCTTTCACGTCTTTTTTCAGTTCAGGCTTATTTCAGTTTACTTCAGATTTAATCTGTTCCCTAGTGTCTCTGCTGCTGGCTGTAGCTGAATCCTGTGGCACATAAAAATCGGAGCAGTTAAAAATGCATTTATAAAGGTCGTGTACAGTACATAAGTACAGCGCAAGTCAGCCACTGTGGGTTGGAGGTCATTTAATATATATATATATATATAAAATTTGTGGGAAAAGTGTATGTATACATTATTGCAGGGATGTCAAACTCCAGTCCTGGGGGGCCGAGCCCTGCACATTTTTGGGTTTCCCCTCATTTAACACACCTGATTTACCTCATTGCAACTATTTGTGCACCCAGCTCTTGAACATCCCTGCATTATTGTAAAGTGTGTGGTGAAACAACACCTCTGCCCCCTCCGGGGATCAATACATTGTCATTCACAAGAAGAGCACTGCACTAACAATGCAAAGGTCCTGTGTTAGACTAAGTTGCTTTGGATAAAACCTTCAGATACTGTAAATGAGTAACTGTAACTTCTATCAATTCTTCGCAATGTAGAGCTGTTAGTCAGCCTAGCTGTATGCATTCAGACTGCAGAAGCAAACCTGCAAGATGGGGAGAACATGCAAACTCAACATGCACAGAGGGCAGATAGGTGTTTGATTCTAACCCCAGAGGTGTGAGGCAACAATGCTGCCTCAAAGAATACAAATTAAAAGGCCAAACCTGGAGATTCAATTACTGAAAATCAAAAGACAGATGTTCAGTAAGTTGAGCTGGTGAAATGTACTGATGTGAAAGTCTTGTATAAGAAACACAGGCTAAAGGGAACAGGAATCCACACGGTGCTGCATAGTTTCGGCCTTCTGTCTTTTATTCAAAGCAAATGGCAAACGGCTCACGCAAGGAACTACAAAACCCTCAAACTGCTGTACCCAGCACACCGGACATCAGGGGTACGCCTGCAGCAGGAGCCGTTTCTTCACCCAGTGTTACTTCTGCAAAGCAGGGAATGAACAAACAGAGGCTAAACTCTCAGAACGCTCATAGCACATGGCTAAAGCAACCGGTCCCTAGGGGCTGTGAACCAGGCAAACTCCTCAGGGCAGCAACGATTCACACAAACCGCGCTGGCACGCGTACATGTCACTGACAGAGTCCTTTGAGATTTAATCGGTGTGCTAAATGAAACCTCTCCTAATGTCTGAAGACCGGCTGCTTGAGGGCCTTAGCGAACGGCGGCCAATGGAACCTCCCATGTCAAGGCGATTTTCGGGCTGTGGACCAATGGGGTCAAAGCGTGGGCGGGGTAAAAAGCTGTATGGGATGCTGGGTCTCTGATCGTACTCTCCACCGATAATGCCTGGGGGATACAGGGGGTTGGGGCCATGAGGGAAGGGGTGGAAGGGCATGGGCTGGGGGGGTATCGGGTGGAAGAGCCGGGTGCGCCGGAAGAGACTCTCCTCTCGTCGCAGCTTGTATTTCTTTTTGTAGAGCTGAGAGGAAAGCAATAGGTTTACAACTCAGAGTGACAGCAAAGGCATTCATTGAAAACCAGCCATCCAATCACAGGCCACTAGCAGGATGACAGCTACTTACTTCCTTCCAGTCTGTTTCCCAGGCTCTGTTTGTTGGATCTGAAATGATAGGGCTGGCGTCATTCAGATCCTATGAAAGCTCCTTCTTACAAAAGATAATGCTGTCAAAATGTCCACCTTACCTCTGAAGTCACGCCGGTACAGGTGTCTCCAGAGGGAGGGGTCCACGGTGGCAACATTGAGGTCTCTGCACACGGCTGACAGGGACACCACAGACCCTATGTCCAGCAGACGCAGAACACGCAGCAGCAGTTCCGGGGGAAGGGCTGTCAGCCCAAATACCGCCGGGAGGTTCATGGCTGGGGAACCAGGGGGCGACAGAGAGCACAAGGGGGTTCCCCACAGCCCAAGAAGCAGCCAATCAACATGGTCTGGCAGGCCCATGTGACAATAATAAAACACAACAAAGACTAAAAAATTGCATACTGTTAACATCACAGTAAAATATTGCAAAAGTTTACTTGTCTTTCGCGCATCCTTTGGTAACAGATCTGCAAGTGAGCTTTAGTTCTTCTCTAGCTGTACTTCCAGAGGGACTTTGTGCTGATGTATGGACGACGCAAGACTGACTCACCCTGCCTGGCGGATGCGATCAGCGGGTAAGCAAGCTGGTCCTTAAAGAGGCGCGACAGCTGCTTGAGGTCTCTGTACGCCATGGCAGCACTTTCCCCTGCGACAGACAGACAGACGGACAGACAGACGGACAGACGGAGAGGTGACATCTTCTGGAAACCTCAGACCCCTCCCCGGCACTATTCCTAAATCCATATGACATATCAGGCATAAGAACAAGCTTGCTTACAGCCCAGGTGAGGAGGGCAGGGTCCTCTGGTGTCGCCCTGCCTGCAAGGCTTACCTGCCCAGGCGTCCGTCACGTACGTTGACGGCTTCAGCAGCAGCTTCTTGGCATTTTCCGCACTCTCTTTCATCTTCAGTGTGGCTGCAGAGAGCAGTTAGCCGTTAGCCTGCTTCTCACAGGACAGGAGTCTAAAAGGTATTATACACACCAGGCAAAGAACTCGACCCAAAGCCACAGGTTTTGGATCTGCTGTTGTATTCATGAGAAATTTATTAAAATAGTGCTGTATGGTGGTTGGATGGTATGGTCTAGCAGAGTGTTTCCCAACCCGGTTCATGGAGACCCACAGAGTCCACGTTCTTGCTCCTGGAACGTCTGTGGGTCCACGAGTACTGGGTTGGGAAACACTGGTCCAGCAGTTTCAGTGTGTTGGGTGCGAATTGGGCTCCAGCTCAGTGAATGTGGGGTTTGCCTGTTTGCTCTATGGGATTAAATGATGGATGGATGGATGGATGGATAGGTGTTATCTGTAGAATAAAAAGTATTCAGATAAATCCAGTCCTTTTCAGAGATGGATAGTTCAGGTCCAGAAAGTAAAAAATCCAGACCAGGATTTCGTTTCAACCAACCAGTTGAGTACTCTGTGACTGTGATTCTTCATGCTCAACTGGTTAGTTGAAGCAAAATCTTGGTCAGGATTTTTACTTTCGTGACATGAAATTTAAAGCCTGCTGTAAATAAACTGTATCTCTCCACTATACAGCACGGGCAGAAGCCCAGGTGGCTGGGGAGGATCACCGGCACCCCAGCTGGTGAGGACAGCTCACCGTTGATGACGAGCCTGCTCCCCATGGGCACAGCCGCCAGCGTGGCCAGGCTCTGCTCGCAGAGTGGGTGGGAGTACCGCAGCCTGTACACCCCTCCCTCGGCCCTCCAGCCAGGTGGCATCTCACTGGGCTTTCCCTCCGCATTCTGGGAGATGCAGAGAAAGCATAATCAGAGCTCCTGCTTACACAGCACATGTGGATTAGTGTCTCTTGGCTGGGGTATCTGCAGGCTCCCATGATGCACCATGGTTTTCTGGTAACCAGTGGAGACCATACTACCGGGGTCACATCCCTGGCACCAGTATACTGCCTTTTGAATAATCTCTCCCAACTAGATGATATCAAATCACAGTGCCGCCAGTCACCAGGTCTGATGGATCTGATGCTACAGCCACAGGCAGCCCTGTGGGCATCCTGTCATACCAGGCTGCCAGAGATGTCCTGAGGCTATTTTGCTTGCCTCCCTGAGGTCAGTGCTTTAGTGTCCCCGATTCACCACCTACCTGAGGGACAAAGCCCGTCTCAAGCATCAGAAGGTGGGAGGCCACCACAAGTGAGTCACAGGGGCCTCGGCTCTGCGCCGCGTGGTGAAGCACCTCCAGCGAATGGGGCACCTCGCCCTCCTCGGCCTCAGCGCACAGCATGGGCTCTGGCGTGACGGGGGGTGACACGGGCCCCTCCCCCGCATCGTCCTGCTCCTCTGTCCCCGTCACAAACCGGCAGCTGCTGCTGGACTGCATGACCTGAGATGCACAATAACACTCAGGAGGGGGTTTTAAAATGAACCACTTTGACAAATACATATATAAACCAAACATCCTGGACTTTTACACACAGCGACAGGCACACTGGATATTACAGGAAGAAACTATATCGTCATTACTCGGTAATGCCGGCCCTATGGACAGCGTCTGACTGCCCCAGATTGGCAGCACTGGCCCATGACTCAGCATGCTCACAATCACCCCCCCTGCGTGGTGGGCGGGGCCAGCATTGCCACCGATTGCATCAGCTGACTGCCGCTCTGGCACTGGTGAGGTGTTCGTTGCTGTAAGTGGGACAACGTACATGGTGTGGGGAGCCTGACACACCTCAAATACAGACTGCTGCATCGTTAGAACAGCAGGTGGTATAGTGGTTAAAGAGCTGAAGGCTGGCAGTAGAGCTGTCATGATTGGTCGATTATTAAGAAGCATCAGTTAAAATTTGCCTTCTCGATTTCTTGCCAATATGGTGGAAGGAAGACGGTGCACAGCTGATGAGGGTTCAAATGAAGAGTGAAAGCCTCCATTGCGTGGAAGCACTTCACATTAATAGTGAACAAAAATGCAGTCATCTCTCAGTATTGCAACTTAAATATCACCACAGAACATCTGCAATGCAAACAGACATTCGGGTTTGATGGACTCACCCATTATTGTGAGGTTAGCCACAGATAAATATAAGCTGTGTGCCATTTAGCTTCTCAGAGTAGCATAGCCTCTCTCTGTCATAACATTGACTTTAAATATTTTCAATAATAATAATAATAATAATAATAATAACAATCGATACTTTATTGTCCCCATGGGGAAATTGTCTTTACGCCTCCCTCAACTTGCTCTTTGCAGAGTAAGCTGTCCGCAAAGGGCAGCCATCCGTAGCGGCGCCCAGGGAGCTGGGGGCTAAGGGCCTTACTCATGGACCCGCAGACGTGCTGAGGCTGGGTTTTATGATTCCTGAATGTTGCTGTTAAAATGAAAGTTAGCCCCACCTCTTAGCCGTATAATCTTACATTATATGGTATGTAACTATATAATATTTTTTTGTGAGTGTATTGTGTGTTTTCAGGAGGGCTGAACGATACCGGAAAAAATTGCATTGCTATATTTGAAGTTTTTGCAGTATTTAGGAGTTGAAAATTAAATATATAACCAAATAGAAACTACAAACAGAGTCCGTCAAATACGTTTGTGGTGTTGCCGTGAGCTGTGCCAATAGACACGAAGCAGTGCGCAAAAATCACTTGGTTTTGATCAATATCATTTCTGAGATACAAAATATTTCCACACGGCAGAAGACGAGTGTCTTTTTGTGACCAATTCTTCGCTTTGTGTGGAGTTTGCATGTTCACTCTGTGTGTACGTGGCTTTTCAGCAGATTCTTTGGTTTCCTTCCACAGTCCAAAAACATGCAACTTCTGGACTGGAGTGTTGGAGTGCTAAACTTACTGCATGTGTGAGTGAGTGGGTGATTGGTTCCTACTTTGTTCCAATTGCAAGGTATATATATTATATAATTAAAAAATGATTTGATTAATCCTCAAATTAAGCTGTAGATTAATTGATTATTGGCAGATTTTTGCGTTAAGTTTGGTACTTTCTAGATATTTTGCTGCAGCATTTCGAGTAATATATCTAAATTGATAAATTGGTGAGAATGTAAAGCCTAGTTCATACTTTATTTTTCCGTGTGCCATTACAATCCACGTTATGTCTGTGCATGCAGGCTTTTGAGTACATACTAACATTTATCCATACTGTAGGTGCAATGATATTCCACCAGACCACCAGAGGGCAGATGCATTGCAACAAACAAACACAAGCAGTGTGGGGAAATGGGTAAACTTGGGAGGTAATACTGTGATATTTTTGCTGGCACATTTACCCAGGACCCCCTCCCACTCTGCAAATTTGATCGCGAAGATTTCAAAATGCCAGAAAACTGTTGCTTTTGAAAATACTTTATATCATATTATGTATTGAAAGTATGAAATATCAGATACCACCTAAGGCTGTTAAACAGTTTAACAACCATAATGTGAAAAAGTGAATAACAAATAAACTCATATGTTACATTCAAAAGCACAACACTAAAGCCCATTGTATATGTGATGTTCTTATAGTGCAGAACATATCAAACAATGTATTTTTATCTCTGTCTGCAGAAATTCCATTCATTGTCCAGTGTTTGGCAATTTCTTTCCTCGAATTCATGCACCAGAAAAAGGTCTTTGTGCTCTTTCAGTAATGAGTTATATATGCAAGTGCTTCCATATCTCCTTGCACAACTGCTTATCAAATGTGTCCACATCTACAACTACTCTTCATCTTCTGCCACCTACTGGAGGCGCACGGTCAATTTCTTCCATTTCTCTGTCTCCCATTTTTCCTCTTTTTGAATTATTGTGTTCAAACGACGTAGGAAAGCAGTACACCCATGTAAAGCACCTCGGGGGCTCTGTTGCGAAAGTCCCTATATACCAATAAATTGAATTGAAATGAATTTCCTTGCACAAGCACAGCTGACATGCAACATTGCACAAAATGACTACTGGGATATAAAAATCTGGGCTGCATGCGCACAGTCCGGCAGACACCCCTGATGACGAGGATTATGTAATAGCATGCAGAAAAACAAAGTATTGATTGGCCTTAAGTGGTTTTGACATCTCTGATATCCCCATAGTGCATGATTGTGTGTATATATGACCATGTGATGGACTGGCACTCCATCAAGGGTGTACAGTAGCTTGCAGCCCAGTACTGCCTGGTATAGGCTCTAAGCCCCTGACACTGAAGAATATAGATGGATGAACTCCATTACCCACAAGCCATTTTATTTACAACTTGCCAGGCTAATGCTAGGCATAAGGAGCGTACCTCTCCTGAACGTTGTGTGGCTGGGGGCCGGCTCTCCTCACGCAGCTTTCTGAATTGGTCCACACTGCCGCTCTGGGAAACAGGGGGCGCCGTCGAGACTGGAGAGTCCGACTGGGCCAGAATAACGCATATCAAGTCCCCTGACACGATCCCGCAGGAGGAGAGGCTCTGGCCAGAGTCAGTAAGGGGCTCCTTGCCGTTCAGGGAGAGTGTGAACTCAGTGTCTGGGCTGCAGGGGACAAGAGGGGTCTAAAATCATCTCTCTCTCTCTGCAGCTCTCAAAAAGGATTTAATAGCTCAAGTGACATTTTTTTTTGCCTAAATTTTTGTAAGGCTGAAGCAATCACACTGCGATAGGATATAAAACTAGCATACCTCCTGGAAGTGAAACAAACAACCTCCACACTAGCTGTTATCCAAAATGAACATCTCAATATTTAAAGTGACAGAAGGATCAAGCTTGGTTTAAAATAATAGTTTAAAATGCTTGCAGTCTGCAGACATATATCATCAATCAAATGTCCTATCAAAGAAATGAAGAGAGTGACGTTTGGCACAGTGATAAGCAAAGCAGACAGGGAGCTCCCCATGGACCGTAATCCACAGAGACAAACTAACCTAAGGCTGCAGGACGGGAGGAGGACCTCCATGACCTGCATGGACAGATCTGTGAGTGTGGGCTCATCTCCATCCAGGTCCAGGCAGCTCGTCTGTCTGTTCAGTCTCACACGGAGCTTCATGTTCCAGCTGCTGGGATACAGGATGTCAGAGAGACCAAGTGGGGACACATGCATGTTTGGGAAGTGATTAAACAAAAGCATATATGCTTCAAGTTTTTCCCCTCAACAAAAGGCTGGAGGATTCACTGCCTCTGCATCTATTCAGGAACAGCATGAAAAACGAACGTCATCCTCCATCCTGCCACACACTCAACCTTTTGTGTTTTATTTCGAATTTCACATGGGACAAGGATCAGGTTAAAATATAACTTCTGATAATATCATGTAATACAAATTGCTGCAAAGAAATGTGCAGTCCTCTCTGTCTGAAACAGTGACATCACCCTAATTCCTTTGCTCGTTATTCCAACACACCCCCTCCAGTCTCACCGTCCACAAAGTCAGATCCTTTTCAGCCAGGTCCTGTCCAACCTGCAGTACAGTATCTCCCTGATGACCAGCATCCCTTCTAGCCAAGAAACACTCCAGCTGCCACATAACCGTGCTAAAACATACGCAGTCCTGACACATGCAAGGGCCATTCCTTTGCATTCCCAAAAAAGATTCTCAAAGATTCTCATCTTTCTTTGCTAATTTTAATGCCTTCCGGATCAGATCACACTTCTCCATGCTATCCGTGTGGCACTCTTTGCAGTCTGACCACAATAATGTTTTTGTGGAAAGAGCTCATCTCAACACCTAGTTCTTTCACCTCAAGAGAAGCAAACCTGACATTCCTAATTAACTCATGAACACAGCCATCTCTATAAACAGTATTTTTATTACTTCCTTACTGTAGAAAATATATAAGACTCGGGGAAGATTTTTCATAAGCTAACCCCTACTACTTAAAAATGTATGTTGCCATATTCAGAATATGCAGTAAACAACAGTGCAAAAACAAACATATTGAGTCAGCGGCATTCTGGAATAGTCACAAGATAAAATTACTAAACAGTTTCATTTTCGTTTCTTTTCAGTTTTGCTAACCAGTCACAACTGACCACCTTCAGACAAAATTAAAGTAAAATAAAAAATACAACCTGACGTACCTCAACCGGTGGGTTACATGCGAGAAGAAAACTGCTAAATGGAACATTAAGTATCACCATCGAGAAAATTAAAAATGAGAAAGTTCGTGAAACTCTACAGTACAGTCTGACATCGACTTACACCTAGTGAACCAAATGCACTTACTTTTTCTGATGACTACACCGGAAAGAAACGCTTCATTGATAAAGCATCAGCACTTGCATAATATTTCGGTCGGTCATAAAGGTGTGTGTTAGTGTAAAATCCTGCGATGATCTGTGTCGAAAAACAAACGCAGCTGCATGAACTCCAGAATCTGCCCATTGACAGCTTACAACTACGGAACCCGACGAGGGCCAAACAGTACGAATATCTTAAAGAGACGACATTATCGGTGTCAAGACATTAATGCATTGCATGGGAAATCTAGGGAGAAAACTAATTTCTATAAGACATGCCAGTTTCTCTAAGACATGCCAGTTTTCTGTGGTCAGTAACACACAATTTACTTTCCTATCGAATAATGTATGTTGTGCTCAGTGTATTATCACATTTAAGCATTTTAGTACATTTAAGCGTTTTGCTTAAGGCTCGCTCTGTTTGAACCCTCAGGATGTCCGTAGACTGACACTGTAAATGAGCAGAGTCTAGCGAAGGAGCGTAGTGGGTTGGTTAGACGCACAGTCTGCCTGGGAGATTTGGTGTGTTGGGCGATTGTTAATGTTTTGTTTTTTTTTGGTAATTTTTGTATGACTGATTGTTATAAAAATGAGTCGAAGCTACAATGATGAATTACAGTACCTGGACAAGATCGATCAAAATTGCTGGCGCATTCGGAAGGGGTTTGTTCCAAATATGAAGGTGGGTAGTTGTAACGTGGTCGGTCGCGTTACTTATGGTGTCGCTGTCGATTGATATAGTTAACCAGTGCTGCGTTTCACGACTATTGCTAATGCGAGTTTTTGGGAAACGCACTGCAGGCTTGATGACACGTAAGACTCCGAAAGTATTCTCGTGTCCACTCTCTTTGCAAAAACATCGGTTTCTATTTGTAAATGAATGTTTGTTCGTGAATGAGGTTTAGTTGAAATCTGGGTGAAAACTTCGGCGAAGTCAGCTGCTATGGGTGGATTGCTGAGCTTTATACATGCCAGCCTTGATTTCCAGGTGGAAGGGGTTTTCTACGTGAACGATTCTCTCGAGAAGTTAATGTTTGAGGAGCTGCGTAATGCCAGCCGAGGTGGAGGTAATTGCTATTTACCATTTCTCCCCTATATCAATTTTCATATCTAAATAGCCAAGTAAGTAATGGTTGTATTGTTTCTCAGCGTTAGTTAAAATTGTCACGCAGGTGATCAGCGTGTGTTTTTTTTTCTCCCAGGTTTTGGTGGATTCTTGCCCGCTATGAAGCAGATTGGGAACGTGGCGGCTCTCCCGGGAATAGTGAACGTAAGTCGTAGCGAGTCACTCTGGAAAATATCCCATTTGAAAACTTGTTACATTACTAATTTGATCTCCACTTCTTTGTAACCAGAAATCCATTGGTCTTCCTGATGTCCACTCCGGTTACGGCTTTGCCATAGGAAACATGGCTGCCTTTGACATGAGCGATCCCACTGCAGTCGTCTCACCCGGTATATCTTAATTGCACATGTACCTTAACGTAATCAATCAATTGTTGGTGAAGGGCTTTTTTTTTTTCTTCAGAATCTTTCCATACCCCATAATTTGTTATTTAAATTGTCCTTCGGGAGAAATGCAAATAAATTTGTATTTTTTTTTGAAGCAGGGCTATTTAACATGTAAATGAGGCATATGTCCAGTAGATATGATTTAATGGGCGATGATGAAATACAGCCTGTGCCACACTTATGAGTCACATCCAGCAGGCATGTTCTGTTGTCAGTGTATCTAATAGACTTTGACCTGGGTTGGGTTGGTGTGTGTGCAGGTGGTGTGGGATTCGACATCAACTGTGGTGTTCGCCTGCTGCGCACCAACTTGGACGAGGGTGATGTGCAGCCGGTGAAGGAGCAGCTGGCTCAGGCTCTGTTTGACCACATTCCTGTGGGCGTAGGCTCCAAGGGTGTCATCCCAATGGGTGCCAAGTAAGGAATGCTTCTCGACACCTGGCGCCCAGCTCGGCGTCTGTTGTAATGGGCATTGTGAAGTGAGTCTTTATATCTCGGGGGGGGGGGGGGGGTACAGCCTCATGAGGAGCAGCTGGAGGTGTGTTTGAGATGGGAGAAACAAGGCTCCAGCCCATGGTTACTGGGATTAGCTGTAGGTCTGTCTGCTTCACCAGACAGCACACACTACTCATCAAGGGCAGTGATGAGGGCAGTGGTGGCTTAATAGTTAGGGAAGCGTACTTGTAATTGAAAGATTGCAGGTTCGAATCCCCGACCAGCCAGGCAGTACTGAGGTACCCTGAGCAAGGTACCGCCCCTAAGCACTGCTCCCTAGCTGCTGAATTAGCTGCCCCCTGCTATGTTACGATGTCACATATCGGTTAAATGCAGAGGACACAGTTTATTGTTGTGCACTGATCACTGAATTCTAAATATTAACTTGTTTTTCTATCACAAATAAAATAGAGTATTAATATTCCTTGTTTACAGGACTCAAAGGACACCTTAGAATGACTCTGACTCTGATGAAAATCATTACAATATCACACATCTTTTTAGAAACTCTTATTTTCTCCAGTTCCGTATGTAGTAGTTTAAGGTACTTGTGCCCAAAGGACACTCTTTTTGGGGGGGGGTGGCGTCTACATTTAAATTTGTGAGGATTGTAGACATAACATTTATTTTCCAGTTTCTGTGTGTTATGATCATTGTTTTTTTTTTTTTTTTATATAAAGTTGTTTTCTGCTGTGGGTCATCTGCTCATCTCTGGTCACCTGTGGCTCGTAGGGACCTGGAGGAGGCGCTGGAGATGGGAGTGGACTGGTCCCTGCGGGAGGGCTATGCCTGGGCGGAGGACAAGGAGCACTGTGAAGAGTATGGCCGCATGCTGCAGGCTGACCCCAATAAGGTCTCCTCCAAAGCCAAGAAGAGGGGGCTCCCCCAGGTATCATCATGCTGCCTTTCACACTGGCCCCCTCTGGTACCCTGCATGCTGGGGCATATAGGGGTGTAAATCACTGGTCCCAGGGCGATTCAATGCTGGTTATTGAGGAAACTATTTGATGCATCAGGTACCTTTCATTTCTGTCACAATTCAATTTGATTATTTTGATAACCTAATTTCTATCCTTTAACTTCACTGAAAAAAATGCACATTACTGTGGGAACTTAATAACGTGCTATTAACGGAATACAGTAAAGTCCTGTTATAGCAGACTTCAAGGGCCCTGGCAAAACAGTCCGTTATATCCAGAGTTGCTGTATGCCCAGAACACAACTACAGCTAGGACACCATTTACTCATGCCACACTCCAGCAGACACACTTGTGGTATAGATTATTATATTGTACACGTAATAATCCAACTTTACCTGACCAGATGCGTGACTATTAATAATCCCGACTAAGTATCTGCACTAGATATCACCGGCACGCCAGGCGCCTTGTAGGCGGAGCTGCATGTCCGTTATAGCCGAAAAAAAACTACAGTTAAAGGCGGCCCTGGGGACCAAATTGTTTGTCCGTTAAAAATGAAATTCCATTATAAGCGAGTCCGCTATAACAGAATTTTACTGTACAAAGAAAGCAGTATCTTGTTTTTCATTGTTATAATAAATTGTAGCAGGTTGGCACAGTTGTTTGTGCCTTCCTCGGTTTATCAGAGCCCTAGAGAAACTCCCTGAAAGTACGTTTGAGTCACAGGTAGAGAAAAATACATGGATAAACTGGAACCTAGTGTGCGAGGTGGTGAGGGCTGCATTCCAAATAAATCCCAGTACAGAAAAGAAGGAACGCAGAAAGCCAGCCAGCCACATTGAATGCGTGAACCGAGCCACTGAGCCAGCAGGCTAAGTCGTAAATGGTACAGTCACTGGTAAATTAGAGCAACCACAGGGAGGCTAACGTCCATATCATATTAATATTTTCAACCCTTATTAATTCAACATTTAAAACCCTAAAGAACACCAGTGGAAAACGGTCAAAAGGTCAAGTACTGAACTGTACAGAAAGTCAAAAGCATTTAAAAGCGCTGCTTGATTATCGCAGGCCAGTACTTCTAATTAGGGACTGAGCCTGCTAATTTTATATGCCAATAAATCTTAAATATCGGCCGGTAGTATTGGCCAAGATTGACAGATCGGATTGGGGGGAAAAAAAGAATAACTTTGTGCTACGAAAAACAAGGGCAGGTTTCCAAAAAGTTGTAACGTAAAGACCATCCGGTAGCAGTTCCTTTATGAATATTAATTAATATTAATATTCCAGAAATTCTCTGCCACTACAACTTTGTGCCTCTACTTGAAGCATGTGAATGTGACAGTGTGCAACATGGAAGTAGCAGAATGAATTTTTACCCCCAAAAATTGATTCTGACGTTACAGATCGATACATTGAATCAAGATGCAGCTTTACATCCCTATTGTATACTGTTGCACACAGGTTGGCTCTTTAGGGCAATACTTATTCTGCCATGCCCCTGCTGACTTTTAATCGGTATGGCCCCTGCTGACTTTTAATCGGTATGGTGCTGGCAGTGGCAGTCTGGCTGTACGTTAAGGATAAGTGAGTATTAATCAGGTAATGATAATGGGTTTCCTTTTCCAGCTAGGGACGTTGGGTGCGGGGAACCACTATGCTGAAATACAAGTGGTGGATGAAATCTACAATGACTACGCTGCCAAGAAGATGGGCATCGACCATAAGGGGCAGATCTGTGTGATGATCCACAGTGGCAGCCGTGGCCTGGGGCACCAGGTAGCTACAGGTAGGTCCGTGTTCCTCTGGAAGCTCCTCACAAAGTTAATTCAGCCACCAGACATGTCAGTCTGACCTGTGAGGCTGACCTGAATTGTAGTGCAAAATCTCACCCTTTTTGCTTGGTGTCTGTAGAGATGGACAAACTGATGGGTTTGGATGAGTAAAGCTCTCCTGCTGGTTCTGGAAAGCTGGTCCAACTGCAGGATGTTGTTGAATTTCTGTGCCTGGTAGATGCCCTGGTTGCTATGGAGAAGGCTATGAAGAGGGATAATATCGTAGTCAATGACAGACAGCTGGCGTGTGCTCACATCGGGTCCCCAGAAGGTCAGGACTACCTGAAGGGAATGGCGGCCGCTGGCAATTATGCCTGGGTCAACCGCTCCTCCATGACCTTCCTGACCAGACAGGTAGGTGGGACTTAAGGATCTCTGAATCATGTCATTGGGATATCAGTGCATCAGT